TTTTTTTTTTTTTCTCCAGAGATTTTTCAGGCACCTGCTAAAATCTGTGGTTATTTATTTCTTGCTCAACACAAGACACTTGGTTGGTAATTTCCAACTAGTAAAGGTCACATAAAACAAGGAAAGTATTAATAAGATGTATTTATTGCACACAGATAACTGTCAAAGCTACCAATTACTGCACAGTCAAAGAAGTTAGAACAAACAATCTTTAAAAAAAAATAAAATAAAATAAAATCCACATAATGAGACATATCAAATCATAAAACTATAATAAACTGGGTTGGGATGGTGTTCTCCGGCTTGCAAGCCTCTCCCTTTTTCTTCCAGACATAACAATGGTCAGTATGATCAAATGGTTCAATTTTTGTTCCATCAGACCAGAGGACATTTCTCCCAAAAGTAAGATCTTTGTCCTCATGTGCAGCAGCAAACCATTGTCTGCCTTTTTTATGGCATTCATGGAGCAGTGGCTTCTTCCTTGCTGAGCAGCCTTTCAGGTTATGTTGATATCAGACTCATTTTACTGTGGATATAGATACTTTGGTGCCTGTTTCCTCTAGTGTCTTCATAAAGTCCTTTGCTGTTGTTCTGGGATTGATTTGTAGTGTGATGGCTGCATTGTCCCATGGTGTTTATACTTGCATAGTATTATTTATACAGATGAACGTGGTACCTTCAGGCACTGGGGAAATTGCTCCCAATGAACCAGATTTGTGGAGGTCCACAATTTTTTTTTTTTCTGCAGTCTTGGCTGTTTTATTTTGACTTTCCCATGATGTCAAACAAAGAGGTACTGAATTTGAAGGTGGCCTTAAAATACATCCACAGCTGCACCTCCTATTGACTCAAATGATGTCAATATCAGAAGTTTCTAAAGCCATGACATCATTTTCTGGAATTTTCCAAACTGTTTACAACTACAGTCAACTGAGTGTATGTAAACATCTGACCCACTGGAATTGTGATAAAGTGAATTATGAGTTAAATAATCTATCTGTAAACAACTGTTGGAAATAATACTTGTCATGCATAAAGTACATGTCTTAACCGACTTGCTAGAATGAGAGTTTGTCAAAATGACAACTGTGGATTGGTTAAAAAAAGGTAATAACCACAACAGGTGGCCTTATAGACACAGAATGCTAGAAAATAAAGGCTGGGGGGAAAAAAACTAGAACAAAAATACTTCCTATAAGTGCAATATGTTTAAATATTTGGATTAGCTTCACTGTACTTCCAAATTGGTATTACTGGGCATGCAGTTTTTCTGCTAGCCTTAATTGGGCCTAATGCCTAACTAGTTTTATCAGATTTAAGCAGCCCCAGCTTTTGAGACTCTCTGTTGTCTTTATGTTCTCCTAGCCCACTGTTTGCACACTGTGACTGAGGATAACCCAGAGCTGCTTTGTAGCATGAACACCGCTGTGCTTGGAGTCCTGGACAACGTGCTCCTGTCATCTCAGCCAGACATGGCACACATTCTCCTTAGGACGTTGGCTGCAGGTGCAATTTGTCGCTTGATGTCTTTTTTTTTTTTTTTTCCTAAATTTAAAAACTGTAACTTAATACCATTATGCATGTTGAAAGTGACATTAAAAATGTCTTGTGTGCACAGAATTTGTTAATAAAAAATTAAAGGAACAAATATCGCACTTGATTAATACAGTGACTAAAATGCCTTTAATGTCCCTTCCTAAGCCCTAACTCTCACCTGCTGTTTCACTCAGGGACACTGTGGAACATGAAGAGCAATCTTCCTGTTGCCCATCAGGCCCAGATGCTCAACGCTGCGGTGGCCACCTTGTCACAGTGCCTGGATCTGGACACAGGTACTCTAATACCTGAACTCAGACGAGCAGAAGAGGTTCGCTATAGAAATGCGCCACCTGTGACAGACACAGAAGACCAGGCTGTAGGAGAGCTCCCTGTGGACGAGATGGAAGGAGAGGAGGAACCACCTAAACAAAAGAGGAATGGAAAAGCTGCGATGGCTGATAACGACTTCTCAGACCTCTTGCCTGTAAGTTGTATTTCTCATACAGTATTCTATATGTTACTGTTCCTCCTTATGCATACAGAAGGCTGTGAGCTCCTCTAGTCATACAAGTTGGCCTTTAAACACTTATTAGCGAAACCCTGTTTCATTGCCAGTTGCACACTACTGTTCTCGTTACAGTCAGACTGATAAATTGGCCAGTAAATGGAATGATATCTTATTGCATATATGGTTGTATTGGTGTACATGTTGACTGGTAAAGTAAGAGTTCCAGTAAAGAAATGCAAAAGAGCTGTTTGAGTTAGTTCAGAAACAGGAGGTGCATTCTAGTTCCCTTATTATCTTGTTCCTTGGTCCTCTATCCACATTCAACCCAGAAGTCATTGTGCTCCGTCATGATGAAGGCCGCCCCAGAGCTCCTGTTTTCAAATCTGACTAGTGAGGAGGCTGCTTGGACGACCCATAGCCAAGGATACACGAGCACATCCTTTGTAGAAATGTGTTACAGATTGACATGTCCCTTAATCGGAAATAAATTTGTAATTGGACACATGGAGGATCAGAGGAAAGGACGTCTCATGCCAGTTAAGTGTTCCACTCTCCTTGCATTTTACGTAGGCGTGACATAGATACGAGGAAAACATGGATCCAGTTAGGGCAATTGGGATTCACCTAGTGTCTCTAATACATTGTCTGCCCAGCAGAGAGCACTACCAATTTTAATTTTCAGCTGTAAAATATCCACATAGTACACGGCACGGTCAGAAATCTTTAAAAACACAAAATTAAGCTAGCTTTATGTAATTTGTTTATATAAAAATTGTTTGTAAATATCTACATTATTAGCTGCAAATATTCAGTAGTGTTTGGAATAATTCGGTAAAAGTCACCATTATCAGATTAAGCATGTGTAAAGCCATCCAAGCACAAATTTAGGTCTTAATTCTGTCAGAATTTAAAAAGAAATTTTTTAATGAATTTGCTACAAAACTTTATATTAGAACTTTTCATTTTAATGTCAATCCTCTATGTTCTGCGTTTTGATTGGCACTCGAAATGGTTCATTTCTCTTAGGATTTTCATTAATAATATTCACATATGTTGATATCCAACATAATCACTCAGTCGTAACAAAGTGTACATGAAGTTGTGATGCAACCATGACGTATTACCTTCTGGGGTGCGGTATTTTAAATTCAGAAATTGAACACTTAAAATTCAGTCCCCAGTCAATATAGCTGTGTAGATTATTATAAAAGATTAATTAAAAAAAACACTGTCAGGACTTTCTTAGATGCACGATAGGTGAAAAAATGTTTACTTTCAATTTTAAATGTAGAAATTTTAGAATGCGATGTTGCTCTGCACTGTGTGTTTGGCAAGAAAGCAATCCAGTTTTGTTTTTTAGAGGCACACGTTAATGCCAGGTGCTATTCAGGAGTGCAAGACAAACTGATAGGGCAGACAAACCCTCAGGGTCAGGGTGCCAGATTAGGGACAGTTGGCAAGGTTCAGCTGGGAACCATGTACTGGCCTCAGCCACAGTGACAATCTGTCCCTCTCAGCTTAGACACATCCAGAGCCCCCAGAGTGAATGTCACATTTATGGTGATGCTCCAAATGCCCTTCAATATTGCAGGTTATACAATGGGGTTATCGCACAGACAGTTATAATCATCGAACAAAACAAATAAACTCTACTTAAACCTGGCCTTTCCTTCAAAAATGATCTCTTGTAATAGATTGTCACTAGCACCACAGTTCAAAAAGTACACCTAGACATGCTTGAAGACAACTGTGGAAGAACTTGTCTTCACTGTGGCGGACAACTGAACTTTGGGTATTTACAGTGCTAACAGCCATTGCTTTGGTAGGATGTTGGCTCACCTTTCTGCTTGTATTATTGTCCAGCGGGGCAAGGAGGAGCTGAGGGAGGCGACGGCCTTGCTGACAGCCCAGCAAACGTCATTAGAGATCATTGTCAACATGTGCTGCTCTGACGGTGAGTATTGTGGGTATGGACAGGCATGCTGTTGACCCCAGGCACTTTTCATCAACATTATTTCCTTTGACAGTGCCAGCAAGTGCAGGTTTGTTGAAAAGCCACTGTAACAAGAAATACATGAGCATTTTATATTTTAGTACCCAGAGATGACTTTTGATGTTCTACTTTAATTCTGTGGGGGTGTGTGCATGCCTTTTAAGAGCCATCTGATGACGAATGGGAGGAGGAGTCGAGCAGTGACGAAAGTGACATGGGTCCAGATGGCCTTTGTGACGGAGTGTCCAATCTCCTGTCTCCACTGTGTTTGTCAGCTGAGGTTCATGGGGCTTTAATCAACCACAGCATCCCTGAAAAGGCAAGTTACCTGTCTGCTTCATCAGTAACACCTCACATCAGTCAGTCGTTATAAGATTCATCACAGTGCCTGTGTACATAGTTAGTCCTTTGCTGTAATTACCAACCTAAAGTATGGCTCTAATTATACCTCACCGATCTTCTACCCCAGGCTGAGCAGACTTACTGTATGCATGCACAGTAAATGTTATACTTTTTTTCCTCTTAATTAAAGGTCCTCCGAAAGACTGAGTTTGCTAGAAAGGAAGCTGTGGATGTGTGTCTTCAGAATTCCTCTTGGAGATGCCTGATAAAAAAGTAATTTACCTCACTTTTGCTCTTCCCTTGAACTTTGCTGTGAGATTGATCACAATTTGTTTAAGCCACTTTGTATTGTTTTTCTCAGTGTACATCTTCACTCTGGTAAAGTTTGTTAATGCACTCTTGTATGGAATGTCCTACTGCTCTATAACAGAAGTAATCTTTTCCTTAGGATGAAGCGTGTACAGTCCCGGGCTCTGACATGCCTCCATAGCATCCTCTCCACTATGGATGCAGAGTCTCTGGGAGGCCCAGCAGTCCTGCAGACTGCAGCACAGCACCTGTCCACATTGGTTTTTGGAGCAGCAGGTCTCACACTTGCATCACATTATTGTTATACAGCATATACCAAAAAATCAGTTGCAGAGTTGTAGTGGTGAAGCATGTAATACATCTGACAGTGCACAATGTTTTTTGTTTTCAGAGACACTCAAAGATGAGGAGTTCCTTGAGGCTGTGATCAGTGCTGTCCGGTCTCTCTTACAGATGATTGCATCCACAAATATCTCCCAGGTACAGAATACATCAGAAGTACAGCTATTGCTTTGGTGATTTTAAACATTTGCGTTAATGGGTGATGGGTGTTACTTCAGCAGCCTCTTTAATTTTCATTTTTCGAGTTCGTTTTCCAATTCAATACAGTGCTAAATAAATAGAGGTCAACCAGAAACTACACTCTTTATTCCTGCCCACTGCCAGTTCCCATGTTTGTTTTGGACATCTCTGTGTGTTTTGTTTTTCTCAGTGTATGACGCCTCAGCAGCTGATGAGCCTGAGCGAAGCAGCCACGTGTTGTGATGTTGTCAGTGTGAGGGTGAACGCCGTTGCCATTCTGGGCATCACTGGCAGCACATTAGCCAAAGAGAAGGGCACTGCTGAAACCCTTCAGGTATAATTTTTCTCTTTTTGTTCTTGTGGAACATTTGTGCTTCTGCTTAGAAACTCTGCGCCTACAGATGATTGGAAAGGCCTTGCTCGAAGTTGCCACAAGAGATGCCGACCTAGTTGTAAATGGAGAAGCCCTTGACGCCTTGTTTGACGTGTTTGCGGATGGAGACGAAGCAGAGGCAGCTGCTAAGAGCATCCAGTTACTACCTGCACTGAAGGCACTTCAACCTGTCCTTAAGGCCAAGGTTAATTTCACTTTACTGAACACAGTTCTCTGTGATTTTTCAACCTTTTTTTTTTGCACAATTAAAGCTGCATTAACTAATGTCTCCCTCTAATATTCAACCTTTAAGGGCGAGTCAAAACAAATTCAAGCAGTGCCCCCTTGTCTTCTTCCTCCACTCCTCTTTGCCCCTACTGCCCTCTCTCTGAAACTACATCATATGCGGTCACAACAGCCAGAGACAGTTGTGGCAGTCAAGTAGCTCAGCAGAAATAACCAGCTCCAGAACTAATGTATATAGAATACCGAGCCCATAGAGCACGTGGTTTTTGGTGGCATTGCAGCGACACAATGTCAAATAAAGAGGTTTACATTTTAGCGGCAAGCAAATTATACAGAGGAATGTTTTTTCCCCCAGTAATATTGATACAGTACTAATGTTATGCCACTGTGGCATCATGTTCAATGTTACATACTTGACGCACATAATCATGAGTTGTATGTGAAATGACAAATTTCATGCTACACTTTTCTAATTGTGTTGATGGCGTAAATTTTAACTTATCACTAAAATGCTACATGGACTGCAGTGTTATGTTTGACATACACTGGACCAAAACCAAGCAAAATTACTGCATATGCTAAACAAGAAAACGGCAATGTTGCAGTCAGTTGGAATGCCTCCAAATTAGAACTAGGATATTTCAATACAAAGGTATAAAACTGAAAAGCTAACGTTAGATTGCTAATGGTGCCGACATATACATGTTAGCTACTTATGTGTCTAAAAGAAAGAAAGACACATCCATGTCAAATTTTAGTCTTTTGGATGCTTTTAATGCTCTCCATCTCTGACATGCCAAACTGAAGTTAACCCTGGTTTTGCCTCATTCTTTGTTGTACCTGCCCAAGTAGCCTCCATGGTCTGTCTGACATGAGCCATTCTGGTTTGAATAATGCGTCTTATAACGTCAGATCAGTGGGAGCATGAAAGATGTGTGGTGCTGATTTAAATAACAATGGCCACAGAGGGCAAGAAATAAACACAAGGCCTGAAGATACAGTAGCAGAGTGGGGTGAGGGGGGTTAGTACAACAGGGAGACAACACTTTAATGCAGCTTTAATAATTTCTAAACACACTATTAATTTACCACCAGTGCACATTTGTTTCTCATCTTAATAATTTATATAGCTTAAAACATTTTGTTACCTTCTGAATGGATTGTGGGATTTGTTTCACCCTTTTAATAAAAGTTTTTTTTGCTATTAGATTCGTAAAGAAGGAAGAGGCAAGTACAGCCCTCAGCAGCTGTGTGTGCTAGACAATATCAAAGTCAACCTGAGAAGATTCATTGGTTATCTGGAGAAGGTGGTGAACAAGTGAGGAGAGTTAGATGGTATGGTTTGGACAGATTTTGTATGCTAGTAGAAGATGGATACATTATGTGGACATGAAACCATAAAGTATTTATTATGTCAGTAGTCATCGGTGTATTATTGCTTGGTTTCAGTGTTTATATTCTCTAAATAATGATTCACTATTTTACTTTGTGATGTGAAACTATTTGTTGTGAAGAAAGAAGTGGAAGCTAATAATGATTAGTTACTGCTTGTTGCAGTAAGGTTTTTTCCTCCTATGTTTAACTGCAAAAAATTTCAGACTCAAAGTTGTATATTTTCATGTCCCTTGGTGACATTTTAGTAGAACAGGTGTGGTGAGCTGACACCACCTTTTGATATAGGTACCCTTATTTTAGCTCTGTATTGCAAGTGGGCTAAACTTTTGATATTTGCAGTTCTACTAGTCCTGACCAGTGGTAAGAGCGCTATTCACAGTTGCTCATTGTAGGTCCTTGTGAAAGTGGTTTTAGTGCCAGCTACTATATGAAAAGGAGGTTTTGGATATGTAATCATTTATTCTGTCTTTGTTTAAGAGAAACATGTCATTTCATTAACTGTTTAAGCTGAAAGAGTAGGGCACACCCACTGCTCCAGCTTGTTAAGGAATTATAAACCACACACAATTTCAGAGACAAATTTGAGGGAAAATGTGAATATGAATAAATACCTATTTTTTCCCAAAATTTTGAGTACTCTGTTTTTCTTTTGCATCACATTAACAGTTTCTCTCCTAATCTATTAAGTTATCCGAACTAACTAATGTTATACACTATGCTTTACTTTGGTTTTTCAAGCTATGGACTAACATACCAAGTGGTGTGGTGGTAGGGGCTAATAGTATTTGCTTAGGTCTACATATCAAGTTGTCTTTGTGTTATGAAAAAATATGGAGATAATGACTTGCTCTAACTCCTGAACCACAGCCACGCTGCAGATGCAAATAGATCCCCTGGGTTATGACTAAAATGAATAATTACTCAAACAGATACCCCTGTCAGAAATAAATAGGCCCTGGTGCAGGACTATACCAAGGGTAATGCCAACCCTGCTAGATGCAAAGGCTTACTAAGGCATTGCCAGTCCTGCCAGACACTAAGATCAGCTCTCAATTTTACAAAAATAAAATCAAACAAAGGTACCAGGTGTAAATAGGCCCTGGAGCAAGATGCTATGACAGCACTGCCAAATGCAAAGTCCACGTTTCCTACTGCTTCATGCAGCATTCATGGTGAAAATCATAATTGCAGTCACTATCATCATACCCTTTGGCTAAAAGGACATTTCCAGAATCTCCTCTATTTGCGAAGAAGGCCTGAGGTGGAGGGTGCAGACTCCCCGGAGCTCTCTTCTGTGTTCCTGTTTGCGAAGGAGCTAGGCCTGAGGATGATAAAGATTCCACAAGGTGTTCATCAAAAGTCCACCTCTACCTCGCCTGAAAAAGTCACTGTATCATGCCACAATCACTGCATTTATTTATTAATAATGACCACATTTCTATTTGTTCAATTTAATTTCTATCATTTTTAAAGGTGAGGTGCTGCTTATCTAAAGGTCTTAAAAGCTGCTAAACATATAACATATATACATAACAAATTTAACAGTAACATAACAAACATAACATATAACAAAATTTGAGAATAGAGAAGCTTAAGTCTTGGTCTGTGCATGTGCACCAGACAAGGGCCTTTTTTGCAGAGTAAGAACTTAAGTGTTTATCTAAAAAAAAAAAAATCAATGTGGTTTGTAATAATATCTGCAATTTGACCTATTTCATTTACGCTGAACTACATGAGTCCTTACACATGAGCCATTGGTAGTAAGTCTTGTACAATGAACTCGGCTTCGCCAAAATAACCACACAACTACGCCTCGAGTCGAATCACTGCACGTAGGAGAAGGTGGCACTGAGAAGGCAGGGCACGCACATGCTGTCCAATAACAATCACATGGGAAATCGCAATCTTCACCTTCAAAAGTAAAACAACACATTAAAGAGTTAAGCGCATTTCAGTGAAATGCCAGCACATCTTATACAAGCTCAAGTGATATGACTGAAAACAACATCCCTTTATAGGTCCAAGACATGCTTTTGTCCTTCAATCAGATTCTTAGTTTGTGCACTGCGATAAATATCTGAAGATTAGTTCACAAATGTGATCAAATTTGAAGCTAAAATGAAGAGATTTGAATAACTTTTAATTCATGCTTCAGCCACTAAAACCATTCAGCTCAGATAGAAAAGGCCCTAGAGTGTTTACATTGTGTGCTCTAACACCATGAAGTCCACTCCTAAAGGTTCTGGGCGCCATCTTTGTTCAACAATTTGGATGCAAAAATTTAAGTATTTGAAGCCCTGAAACCAAAATATCAGTCTTTGTAAACTAATACACTGTACATGATTGTTAATACATTCCACACCTGTCCCAGGAAAATGAATGCATTCTAGTCCCCAAATAATCAATTTACATGAAGAAATCGTCGAATGAAAGTATGTATTTTTGCAATAGGCCTACTAACATTCTGTGATCTGGCCACCTTTGAATTAAAAAACTTTAATTTATTTTTACAATGAGAGGGTATTAAATTACTTTAGAGATGTATTTCTACCTGACCTGCATGAGCCAGCAGGTGCTCTTCACTGGCAGAGGCCTGCTTAAGGAAATTGTCAGCTAGGTGGCTTTTCTGCAGCAGTTTGATGAAATAGAAGTTTTGTTGGGCAACAAGATCTGATGTTCAGTTGTTCCCAGCAGTTTTATCTCTCCTCCAAACACAGAGTTTGTGTTTTAAGAGTCACTTTCTCAGCTGGGCTTTGCAACAAGCCCACTCGTGTCAGAGCATAGATGTATAGAGACAAATCAGATTAGTCTGCAGACCTATAGTAACCTCGGTTGGGTCGTCATTCTGTTCCCATGATATTTAGTGACGCACGCATGCGTGTGAATGAACAAGCAAGAACGAGCAACAAAATTGTATAGATGTGCATGAATATGATTATTTACAAACAATAATTAATACATGGAAACGTGCGTAAAATTAAAAAAATTATCAATCGCAGAGTGAAACTACATCATTGAATGCATGGTAAGGAACCACCTAATCTAGCCAAGGGGTTGCAAACCAGTGACTTCTGTGCCAGTCCCAAGCCTGGATAAATAGAGAGGGTTGCGTCAGGAAGGGCATCCGACGTAAAAACATGCCAATTTAAACATGCGAATCATCAGTGTGAATTCCATACTGAATTGGTCGAGGCCTGGGTTAACAATGACCGCCACTGGTGGTGCTGTTGACCTACAGGGTGCTGGTGGAAATTGGACTACTGTTGGTCGAAGAAGGAGAGGAGGTAGAAAGATTCGTAGACAGAGAAGAGGAAAGGCAGGAGTATAGGTCTGAGAATAGGGACTCTTAACGTTGGCACAATGACAGGGAAAGGTAGAGAGCTGGCAGACATGATGGAGAGAAGGAAGGTAGATACATACTGTGTGCAGGAGACCAGGTGGAAGGGTAGCAAAGTGCATAGCATTGAAGGGGGATACAAACTGTTTTATTATGGTGTGGACAGGAAGAGAAATGG